CAGGGGAATTGCCTTTTGAACCCCAAATCTAGTGTTAAAGTTTTCTGCCCAAACGTCGCAATTTTAGTTTTATTGGCAGCTTGAAGTGTAACTGGGGATGTTTTTCGCCCCAGCTCAGTTTTGTTTTGAGGTATGATACTAAGAGCAGCGCCAGTATCTACCAAAAAGCACAAGCCGGAGTTTCTGTCTCTAACATAAAACAAGCGACTATTTAGGCGCCCCTCCTCAGTCGTCGCGACCTGGGGAGGGGTTACTCGTTTCCCGCATTTCTGGGATTGTGTTTGGGCCAGGCGCAGGGTTGCATGCACTTTGTTGATTTGACACCAAACTTCCAATGATACTAACAGAATTGCCCAGATTGTCTAGACGTTTGTAATCTGTTTCGTGACTTGGATCTTGATCGTTGTGGTGATCTGCTCCTGTTTCTATGATCCATTTGCATTTTGGCAACAGCCTCAGTGAGACTTTTCACACTCGCAATGAGTTCCTCTATGACTGAGTCTTTTGCTGTTTCTTTTTGTGTGTGGTTTATCGTGTTTGATCCAGTTGGGAGACCCCTTTCCATTACCCTGTCGGCTATACGCGCTAAATGAGATAATAATAATAATATATTTCTGCATGAACAGGTACACGCCATTTTTACAGGCATGATCTGCAAATTATAACATTTGTTGGAGCATAGCATGCTTCCTAACTTATTAAGTTTATAGTTGTTATAAAGTAGTGTCGTAGAGCGCTTGTTATAAACCATGGCCTTGAGTTGACGCATACGTCAAGTTTGTTCCAGACGTTAGAAGTTCCATAGCTGTGCCCTCGGAGCAAGATTCTAAAGAAAATAAAAAAGAGAAACAGCAGAGCAACAAGGCACTTGGATATGGACTCCAAACGTTGCTTAACATTACGTAGAACAGACAAAGTTATAATAAATTAGAATAAATTCATATTATCTCTTGTTAGAGTGAAATAAAGTCAGAGGCTCCATTCAAGAGAATGTAGTAATAAAGAACAATGAATTGTGATGTTTAACAAGTTGGAGTAAGCTCATATGAAGGAAGGGAAGTTAAAGTTGGTACAGGGAAAGTTGTTTATTAGAAGGGAGTGTGCATATAACGGGTGAAGTGTAGAAAATATTATTAACTATATCTTTTGTTGTCTGATTTTTTCTTTCTTTTTTTTCATCCGATGCCAGCCACACAATCCATGTGTAAAAGTCCGAGTTAGCATGTTATAGATTGTCTTAGTAGAATAGCTACTCCACAACTCAGGATCCCTACGATCAAATTCTGAAAGTCGGGATTTCGTAGTCATAACAGAGTCTATCTCCACTGGTGACAAATCCTCCAGGTTTTGGGTTTGTATTAAGTCTGACATGAAGTATATGAACAATATAGCAATAAACTTAGTACGAAAAACGGTTACTACAGCACGAATACCTTAAGATAATAAAAAAACAACTATGTATAAATATATATATATATATATATATATATACCAGACTATGTTTACGGATAATCAGAAGGTCTACTTTTACGACAAAGTAAAATAAAAAAAATTTATTAATAAAAAATTAAATCAACTTTGTGTTTCACAGGGCTCACCAGTTTCGTGTCTTTTGGTAACCCTCGCGTTATTAATAGAAGAAGCCAGACTCGTAGGTAAATAGGTCCTTATTTTCATCTTCGCGCAGTCACAGTGGAGCGTGGGATTTCTTACTCAGACAAACAAAACCTCTCAACAAGCAATATAAGATAGTTAGAAATATAACGCCTAAACAAAATAAAGAAGTGAATGAATATCTAAGCTATAGTGTTTTGATATATGCTTAGTTGCTTGAGATCAACTCGTAACAACCAACTTAAGCTGTTACAGTTTCTTGTCTCCAAGTTCGCATGATGTGAGCAGTTGTTGTAGTCGTTTTTCGTCAGAAAGTGATGTACGTTGGATTTCTGCAGCTTTGATTTTGTCATAAGGATCTGTCTCCGGTACATTGTCAATCAGATCACCGACTTCCGTAGCGATTTCTATGGGTAGAGCGCCGAAAACATAGGCATATTTAGTCGCCTGGGAGCGTATGCCTCTCGCTGAAAATAAGGCTTCTACCTGCGTGAACCAGATTCTGGAATTATTGGCACCGTATATCGGTAGTCTGAAATCGGAAATAGCATTCACCGAACTTAAAATATTATCGTCTACATCTGATGAGTCGAGGGGATTCACTGGGGGACACTCAATATCGATAAGTTTATTTGGAGAGTACATGATATGAAAAAAACTAGTGTTTCACGTAAAAATATAAACAATAAACCTATAATACACTCTAGGCTCACCAAATAATTGTGGTGAACCAGACAATATATTAATCCAAAAGATAATAACAGTTATTAATAGCAAATAATAATACATATATAGATATAAGTTAAATGTTATAAACACAATAGAAATAAGGAACGTTACTTAGTTCACCAGGAGAGTGCGTGTTCCAAATTGATCTGGTATTAAATATCCACAATTACAGATGGGTAATAATTCCAGTAAGTTTGGTGGATTCCCCAATGGTACGATCCAGCAGTATATATGGTATATTCCAATTACAGTCTGTAAAGGTAAATGGTATTTGATTCAGACTTCGGTTAACACAAATGCGAGTGAATGTAGAACGATAGATATGTGCGTAGTAGTGTATTTGGTAACAACCACAAAAGTGTCACACTATGTAGTATCACAACGGAAAAAGTGTTCAAGATCATACACTTAAACAACAGGTACAACCATTTAATGATAAATGTACATTCAGTGGGAAATTAACAGAATGAATACAAATAACATTAAAAACGATTTACAAAATAAACTTGTCAGGCATAACTCCACATGAGGGCAGTGCAATAGTTTTCATGTTTCCCGGCCGCGTGTTACTGTCGCGACAGCTCGTATGGTTTAGTTGCTTTACATGAACGGGATAAATCTACGCCCATATGGTTTAGTCTGTCAGCCCTACGAAATAAGAAACCAAGAAATTGAATTTCACTATCATATAAACGGTTACACTACTCTCTTTGGGTGTTACCAAATTCTTAAACCCTTACTATATTACAGGGAGAAATCATCTGCTTTAAACTATTATATGTATCTGAAGTATTGCTACTGTCGACAGTATTATTACCAATACCTATATTACTATCGTTCATAATAGACACCGAGTTTGGTACAGGTGCTGTCTGTGAATGCGGGAGAGATATAGATGGTAAGCCTCCGTTTACTCGTGGTGACGGTGATGATGACATTGATGATAAACTGACGTTAACCAAGCATTTACGTAAATGTCTTTCTGTTTTGAAGATATTGGGTATTTGATACTGGTTGTTAGTACTATTTCAAAGCATACGCTACTGGTCTCTTAACAATAGTAGTATTCAACAAGTGATGTTGAGTGCAATTTTAATTGCTTGTTGAGCTTTAAAAATGTTTCTCAACCCAAACCTTCTTGGACATGACTTCCGTTTCGAAACTTTTTGCTATCGTAGATGTGTTTGCGACAACCTAATCAATATTGTTTAAGTCTACGGCGAACATCTAAAAGCTAACCATGTCCAAAATGCACTTTTTTAGGGACAGTAAAAACGACCGTAAATGCATTTATAGGAATACATACTTGCACATAAACTCAAGTAGTCTTTTTTTATTTCAATGAACTCCACGAGTTTCATCTTCTATGCTACACCAGGACTACTGTTTTCGGTCGAGTTACTTTCCGCCAAAACATTTAAAGTAGCATCATTTTTATAACATCTTACCCGTTCTAGTTGCGCTTTCACACTTTTTGAACATAATTCACTTTCAAACGTGTTTGATCAAAAGAATTCTATGTCAGTTTTTATATCCGGTTTTCGGGAAATTTTAATGCGAAAATGTTTGAATGTTAATAGCATGAACTGCGGAAAGCAGTTACCAACGACCCAGTAGTTGATATCCAGCACTACGAGAACAGTACCTTCCGACTTTTGCTTATTAGATTTATATTCACCAACGTATCTTTCTCAGAGGCTATTATGTTCAGCAAACCAAACATTAGCGGTCAAACATCATACCAAGTGACTGAAAATGTTCCTGCTGGTCATCATACCTAAAACTATGTATCAACACCATACAGCTGTGCTTTGTATTCTCAGTATGGTAATCTGGCGTAGAAACGTCCTCATAATGTGATCAGCTGAGCTTATATAGCTATTTAATGACTTCTGTTCGTTATATGTTTGTCAAAAGGCGTGTTACACAGATAACACAAACACTGTTAAATAAAGTAATAAAATGAAATAACGCAACTGATGTTAAGGGGAATTTCCAAATGTATTTTGTCACCTTAGGTACATGAAGCACAAGCGTGTCCTATTGCAGCTGTCAACTTTTACGTACGCGAATTTAAAATCGTGATCACTGCATCCAAATATCATATCTAATTAACAGAAATAGGATAATAAATGGGTTTTTCTATGAGACTGTTGTAGTGATCAAGTTAGCCCTGATAAGCTTTAGAGAGAATAAAACACGATTCGTCTGAATTTCTAAACAGGTTCTATCACGGATGAGATATCCACTTATCTAGTTAGTCATGTTCAAACTATTGTTCTGTACCATACCATCGTAACATTAATGCTAAAAAGCAATTCGGTATTTTTCCTCCTTAGACTTTGGTGTTTGCCTATCATTTGTTTTTCTTATTAGGACCATTTGATATTAAGTGTGAAACTGCGTAGAGCTTTAGTCATAGGATGCTAGGTATAATAATAATAAGCTAAAAAGTGCTTCAAGAGTTTGTTGGCTGCTTTAATTGGTGTTTTGTTCAGTAATTGTAAGCCTCTCTGAATTATATTATTTGCTCAGTATTGTTTTTTTGTTCATTTTTATCCAGGTGTTTTGGAAAGTTGTCGAATTCTTTACTTTGTTTAAAATAACTAAAACATTAACTTGGTCGAAACTCTGAGTTTATCATCATATTCTACTCTATGGAGGAAGAAGGAGAACTAAACAAAGAACCATTAGACAACTCTTTGGCGTCATCCTGTCAAAATGATATTACAGAATCCCTTATGACTCAGGTAGTTACCCTTCGTATAGTCGATGTCAGTTTCTCGAAACATTGATAGATATGCGCTTATAGTGTCCTTGTTACTCAAGAAGCAAGACAAATTACAGTCTGGTTTGGGACTTTTATCTCGTTTAGTAAAATACGTAGTAATACGCATCACCTATTCTCTATGGTGGTTAGTGGTCACTGTTTTTAAATATACCTTTTTGCTTGTTCTCGACATCATAAACAACATATTTATATGATTCGAAGTACAAAAAGTAAAAAAATCTGGAGACTTCTCGAAGATTGCGTCAAAATGTTTTCCGAATTACGCTCGAAAACTAATTTATGACTTCTCGATCTAGGTTATACTTATGTAGTTTGGTTGCACCTGGTTTTATATGATTACTATTATATATATATATATATATATATATATATATATATATATATATATATACTCAATGTGTAGTTAAGTAGGTTTCCTGTCATCATGGCTTGAAATGTATAAGGGCTTCAAAAAAGGTTTTGTAAATAGCCATTTAAATAAAGTTCTCTCAGCTCTCTGTTTATTCTCCGTGACGTCAGTAAAATATGAAGACAGTTTTATAAAGTTTTTCTCAATGAAAAAGCCTTGAAAAATTATATAACCTTAGTCAAACCATTCTCATTCGTCCAGAATTTATCAGTTAATCCAAATAATTGGATCTTTTAAAATGAATTTTTGTTTTTACGTCGTATGAATTAAAAATCCAGTACATTCTTATCTTTCAAGTTATTGGTCGTTATAAGAATTTATTGTTACGCTTTTGTTTTACTAAGAAAACTATCAATTCTAAAATTCCAGTATGTTATCCAATATATGATTATGTCTGTCGGATTATTTTGTATAAGTTAGTGCTTTGTGTGCCATAACTTTATTCGTTCATGTGAATAGTACTAAGTTCCTCCCAGCTCTAAATCTTCCAAAGCGTAAGAGTTCGTAATTAGGTGCTTTTACTTATATTATTATGATGAAGAACTGAGCATATGATTCAGGCTGAGTTAACAATAAAGTATACCAATTATGAGGTTCAAAATATGACCAGTGCTTAATTCATCGTTTAACAAACATTTAAACTATACTATATGATACCGGATTTCCTTAAATTCAAAACAAACAAATAAACCTATGCTCATCCGTAAACTATGGTGAAAGAAACGGTAATTAGAAACTAGATTTTATATGATACATCTTTTATACATTGTCTTAGTTGATTTCATCTATTATTATTAATTTTCAGCCGATTCCTATCAACATTCGGATTGCTCAAGATATACAGGAGTTTTTATGCAAAGGTAGCGTTTTAGTAACTTGTTAAACCATATAATAACCTACAGTTATAGTCTATTGGTTTTTTTTAATATTCCGGGAAGCATTCAGAAAACCATTCAGACCATATAATGTATGAGTTTCTTAAACGAGTAACCAACATCGTTGTCAAACCATATCACCCTGTAAAATCACCATAATAACACCTTTTTACTTCAGTTCTAATAAGACTTAGTGAATAACCGTTTATTCAATACGCTTTAAAACAGTTTCAGTAGACGTGTACCATCAATACCTAACAAACAACGTAAATTGTTTTAGTATTTTTAGCGGTTTAGATTGGTTCTTTGCTGACGCTGGTTGTCTAAGAATTACTGACTTTATGGTAGTAACATTTCGGAATTTCACTTTTTTGATATATTACTGAGTAAGTAAACAAATATTTCGTACGCTCTCGAAAATGGCGTAAAAATCGCATTTCTCGATAGTGTGTTTATTCTTGCGAAACCCTTCATTTCAACAGCACCTAACTGGCTACTATTATAGGAATCAATGAGTAGATTTAAAAATGATATCATTGTTTTATAACCTGATGTTTGATTTATCCAATAAAATATTTAAAGGGTATGTAAAGTTTTTATCGGATCGCGCAGCTGCTACCTTTACGTGGTGGTTTGGTTTGTATTTCGTAATAAATCGATCTATATTAGCTGGAATAATTGTTACTTTGTGTCCTACCACACTAAATAGTTTGGTTGAAGAACGGTAAAACCAAGCAGCGAATTCGGGGTCCGAGGGTGAAGTGTTGCTGCTGACTACTCAGTTGTAATAGAAATACGGAGTTTTCCTCAAGAAACCAGCATCTACGAAGATACCGTCTTCCTACGAAAATTTAGACATAACGCTAATTTAAAAAGTTACTGACTGTTGACCTGAGTTGTATAAATTGGTGTATGCTTCTGTACGCGCGTTATAAAATATCGCTTTCGAATACCTACTATTTCTTCTGTTTATCCCAATTTCTTACTATTTACAATCTCATTACATTTTCAGCTATTCTCTCGTCTTGTATTCAAGGATTTATGTAGATACATGTATATCTGGCAGGTAATGACTATATTGATTGACCATATTTACTGCTAAAAGATAGCATGAGTTAAAAATGAGGTATAATATCTTCTTATCTTTCGATTTCACTCACTTAAGTTATAAACCTCATTTAAATACATACAGTAGATGTATCTGTTTTATGGAAATTTCGTATAATTTGAAATTGACATTCATTACACCAGCAAGAAAACCATTAGAGGTCAGAAAGAACGAAATAGGTGTTTCTTCATGATATGGAACCTCTCAACTGTGTAAATGATATCCTTATCATACGTAGGCATTCAGTTCTTCAAGAAAGTATCTGCCCTCAAGTTAAGAATGTTATCTCAAAAATGTATTGCTTTAATCAAATGAAAAGTATAGATAATTAATATTCTGAAGGAGCAAATCTAATTGAGCATAATATTGATAATGAATATAGTAGATATCATTAATAATGAATGATAAAATTACAGAATCGGCAATGTGGATTCATGGTAACCTAAAAATGTGTTTCATAATTAATAAGCTTACTCGGTTCTATAATGTTATATGTTATTATGCTGTCATTTATTTTTAAAACAATACTTTATCAGTTATGTACAAATACATTAAAAGCTTAATCGTTCACTTTGTACATAGGTTCTAAATCTTTTAAGTGTTCTCTGTGTACTCGAACATTCAGGCGTCGTGATAAAATCAAAAGACATTTGATTGAATGTCATTACGGTTAGTTTACCATTGTCATTATTTCCCTATGTTTGTGTTGGTAATTTTCTGTTCTATGTCCTAAGTTTTATTGTTTAGTATAGTTGCTAAAGATCGTTTAATTTGATTCTATAATCATACAGTTTGCAGTTTTTTTTAACAAAAAGGCTTTGGCATGATCTAAGAATACCGGTTTTCACAATTTTTCAAAGTAGCTTTTGGATTACATCAATTATTATCATATTATAATGCAACTTTGTAGGAATAAGCTGATCATCAAAGTTTCCTGAAGTATACAACGTTTTCTGAAGTAATCAGGATAGTTTGTTAAATACTACCAGTAAACAAACATAGAGAATTAGTTTATTTTATGATCATTATTTAGAGTTAGTTTTCAAGTATAAATGAGCAATATTTTTCCTAGTATTTAAGAATATAAGAAAGAAAGTACCGTGTATTTCATGCTTAATTACATTCTATTTAGAAAATTCTCATCAATGACTGCTATGTATAATTAAATTTCAATGTATTTAATTTACTGATAATGATTTTGTTTCTGAAGTCATAAGTTTAGTATTCTGAACTGATTAAAATTAAACGTTTCATTGTTTTCATTAACTTTCACACTTATCATACTGGTTCGAAAACTGAAATGACTGGTCTGAACTGAATAGAAAAGATTCGTTTTTTTAAATTTTATATCATTAGTGTGTTATTATAATATCAAACACATTATGTTGAATTCATCCAATCTCTTTTTCTCCCATGTCATTTACTATGCAGTATCTTCTACCGTTTTTATTGTAGGGATAAAAGACTATGAATGTTCGTTGTGTTTTAAAAAATTTGCTCGTAATGAACATTACAACCGACATATGAATGATGTTCATACTCGTAAGTTGTGTATAACTATGAGGACTTATAATGTTATATGTTCTATAATATTTTTACATGTGTATACTTTAACGAAAAATGTCATGATTTAACACCTTAAAATTGATGGTGTTCAAATACTATGTTATTCCTGAAAATGAATAGACCAATACATTTATCTTATAATCTATCCGTATGTTAACCCATACTCAACAGTACTTTATTCTCAGAATAAATAGTTTAGAACCAAATGACTGGCAAACATATAAGTAGTGTAGACTGTTTCTACGATCTTGTTAAAAAGATTGGTTGATAAACTCGTACTAATATTCTCTTCTAGTAATGAAAGCATACTCGAACATATAAATGACATTTAATCCAAAATGAGTGTTTAATGAACCCTTCAACTTCATTGTCTTAATGAAAGGGAACAAGAAAAAATAGATACTAAGTACAGAAATTGTATTCTTGAAAAACATGTAAATGATGGTCATAAAATGCTGGTTTAAATGTTTGATTGATTTATCTAAAAACCAAGTATAGCACTGTAAGAATATTGACCGAAAAAATTAAGATTTATTTAGTTTACAAGCTTTTGCAACGTGTAAACCACAAGTTCCGACATACAATATAGTACTACGTTATTGTAAAGATACACAGAAAAATGTACACAACCATTAATAATGCTCAGAAAAAAGGACAAATCCAGGGATCTTCTGTTATTTATTTTTAATTTTAAAAGTGGAACTTCATCTAGAGAATGAAGAGGTTATGACACATTCCAATATATTACGACATTTTTGTCCCACAAATAAACTTAAAGAACCAACTGCCTTTTTTTACTAGTTTCAGTGGCTGAAAAGAGTGATTGGTATAGCGATTACTAAATGGTATGCGTTAAATGAGTTACACTAACAGGATTTTATATTTCTAAATTTTGCTTATCGTAAAATGATATTGTCTTTTAGCAACAGTACAAGTTCATATGGTATAAACTGCAACTAAATATTATAGCTGCTGTCGCTTTGCTTTACTGAAAACGAATTGATATATCTTCCAACAATCTTCTATGGTATTTAAAATGTTAGACCCAGTATTTTGAAATACAATTAAGCTTGATCACTACACCAATGATTTGGATCATGGTTTTCTAATATCTATGACCACTTAATATTGGCCCATTTTATGAGATGTAGATCTATAGGAACTACATTGTCGTTCTCATATCACTGAAGAAATGTTGTTTTCATTAACCCTAATACTGTTAGCTGTTGTAAAAAACTGAATACTTATACACTATATAATTAAATTCCATTCACCATTTATTTATTTGCTTTTAATAGTATTACTTAAATCTATTGTATATTTACCGACCTAAACTCCATGAACTAGTTTTGTTTTTGTTTTGGTACTTTGGGATAATTACGTATATTTATGGTGTATTTTTCCTTTTCACAACATGACTTTTACTTCCTGTCTTCTCTTCTCTCTTTTTTTTTAAATAATTTAGTCACCAAAGGTTATCACTGCCGTTTGTGTAATCGAAGATTTAAACGAAATTCAGAGTTTTGTCATCATTTAAAAACTGCTCATCATGGTAACCTTTGTAAATTCACTATAAAAGGATTTCATTTCCTCAAAAATCACTTTATCGTTAATGCTTTCATCGTTAATATTATCGACATCTTTTATCTATATATTCAAAAGAATATATGTGATATTGTTTGAATAGAACAATATCAATTCAAAATAAATGGTCCACTACTTTGGTCATTGTACATGCTGACGTATAAATTAAATAATTTCATGATTATTGTCAAGTTCTATTCAAGTATTTACCTTTCATTAAAATAAACAAGTAGACACTAAAACAAAACAAAAAATTAAAATGAAAAGCCTATACTTCCTGATCCCTACAATATAATAGATAAATTTCAATATAATTTTTTTATTGGTAGCGTTAGGGAGATCCAAAAAACTCCTCGAAGAAAAGCCAAGAAAGGCTCTGAAAACACTGAGAAGCATCTTATCCAATCAGCGTTCACTAGAAGTTTTGCCATGAACATCTAGAAAGCGATAAGTCATATGTCGAGTTTCTGATTGGATGAGTACTCATACTGCTACTATGTTTAGTAACATTCCAATGACATTTAAAACACTACAAAAACCCTAGATAAACGAACCTTGGAGTAAAGCGTTTCTCTCCATATTTCGCACCTTTTCCCTCATGTTCAATTCCCTGTGTAGATTTAGCCTGGGGATTACTAAAAGAGCTTAGGAACCGAATCTAGCGTTTAATTAAAAGACTTATCAATAGTAGTCCAAGTAGTTCCATAAAGTTGTTGAGATTTTTAAATTCCTTTACATTTTTAAAAATATAAGATATTTATAGATGGTTTATCTGTATACACAAATAAATGATTTATGGAAGATATTGTTTTTTCACTTAGGATGAATAAGCAAAGCCATTTTAAATACTACTAGATAATTTTCATCTTAAATTGATATCAACTGAAGAATTATTGAAAATCAGGATGCACTGAAGTTATATCACAAACTATTAGTTTATATTGTCTTTTCTTTGATTTTCTAACGATTATGTATGGTTGTAATCAACTTTGATACTTATTAATTAAGTTCGTCATTCAAATATCTATGTTAGGTGATAAGAGATAGTCAACATGAAATCCTGTACTTAGGCATCGTACTAGTTGACAGCTATAGCAAGGTGTATCTGTAATCTTGAGGGAACTGATGCTACATGACTGATTCCAACCGTTTAACATCGAAATATAGTGCACTCGATTTTGAGTCACTCAAATTAGTGACCATATTGTAGTTCGATCGACAAGATTTATTCAGCACTAAAGTATTAGATAAAAATGACATTGGACCCTATTCAATAATTAATTAGTGTTAAACATTTGTCTTTATATATGTTCATCAATCTGTTTAAAGAGTTTTTAGAGTAATTTACACTGTAATGTGGAAGTATAAAAGGTATTTACAAAATGATATTTGTACTTCACACTTAAATTCTCTGCAAGTATTTGACAAAACGACTATGAGGTTTCAATATCATAGATAGTACACTCGTACTATTGTTTCGAAATTTTGACTGCGTTTATACATTCGATTTCCCGTTAGTTTCTACTGGGTTCTAATCCATTCTGGTTAATTTTATCTGAAAAACCTAGTAGTTTCATCAGCGTTCATACAAAATTTAGTTTACCATTTAAGACATACACCAATCCTTAATTAGTTACTAATTTGTATTTTGTAAGTCAAAATATTTGGCTGTATTTCCATCTGTTTAATTTGCCGTATTCAATAAGTTTCACTCCTTATTATTCTTATTTTCTCTTTAATTTTCCCAAGTCAGTTTTTTCCATAGAGATCAAGTCATTTTTTAACCTTCAATAACAATCACAAAGATTTATTTTTAACGTAGTGTGTAGTGCAGTGGAGGCTAAGTAGTTAAACTATTCGACTTTTAACATGTAAGTCACAAGTTAGAATCTTATTTCACGTACTTTAGTTTGAAAAAGCAAGTAGCACAACTAGCCCTATCCACCTAGAGTGTGTGTCAAATCAATGTATATGAGTCTGCACGAGGTAAATGAGTGGAATAACTAAACCTTAGTTTGTAGTTGGAAAGTGAAAAAAATTGCTTTAATCTGAATTTTTCATTTATTTTATCTTTTAACAATTAACATATATTACAGAACAATCTGGATTGTTTGCATCCGGTTCAGTTTTATTATTTAATCAATCCGAAGATACAATGAATAACAATAATGATCATTCAACTAGTAATCATCTTCCAAATAATTATGAACAGCAACAGTCATTACAAATTGATCAAGTGGACTCTAACTCAATCGATGTTGTAAGTTTCAATGATTTTATAATTTATAGTTAATGGACTAAAATGACCAACATTGTACAGATTTTTATGAATTCCTAAAAATACAATAACACTAATAATCTATCCTTTTGGAATATTTGATATTCTTCTGTGAAGAATGCAATTTTTCCATTTAACTACAATCAAGAAATTTGACACATCTAGTTCTAATGACCAAGAAATGTACATGTGTTGAGAAATACATTAGTATATAGATATAAGAAAAATATTAAGATTAGGTATTGTAGTAATTGTCAAAAGACAAAAAGCTAATTATCTTGGGATACACTATATTTTTGGCTTTTATTTTCTGGTAAATACTATTTATCCAATACTTAACCTTTTTCAAGCCATTAAATCCTACTGCTGTTTCGGCGTCTATGAGTGTTTATCAAATTGTATTTAAAAAAATCATTTTTCTACTCTCTACTTATTTGCTTCAGCGTTCTATGATGAAAATCAGCGCTTGTTTTGACGTTACTTTTATTCATCACGTAGACTTGTAAATACTGCCAAATTTCAACTGACATCATCTCAACTGTTTCTGCCTCTTCAACTGTTTATTTTTAATTACTATTCGTTGCCGAATCAGCCATATGTTAGACGCATTCATTGTCCTTTTAAGCAGGATCCAGGTCGTTTAAATGCGTTATTTATGTCTGAAACATAACTTATCACTCCTCATACTCGTCATCCGAGCATATAACCAATTTTGCAATGAAAAATCATAATTTCATATTTCGGTGATGTATCCACTATTTTGTATAATACACGATTCTAATCAATAGAGAAAATCTGATTTGGTATTTTACTTTTCATATGTGTGAGGATAAACTTCATATTTAGTGGTCGTGTCCTACCGTTTGCATACTGAGTAAGGCTGAATATATGGAGTCCTTTAGTGTATTCAGTCTTCCCATAATATATATGGTCGACATTAGGATAATGTTGTTGTTTTCCTGTACAGTTCATTCTAAAAACTGTGTTTTTTTTTAAACTTTTTCTTAGGCTGGACCAGGTTTATATGTTGAAGTAGAGTTTAACGCGGGTAAAAACGAAGACGGAGAAAGTATGTTTTTGTCATTTTTCAACATTTTTAGCAGCGTATTTAAGACGTTTATATATATGAGAATCAAAATGAATTCTTAGTAACATAAAATCATTTTTGTGAACTTAATGTCAACATGTACATAGCAATGAAATTAGATGCAATTTAGTGATTTGTTACACCCATATATAAAATTTATGTTCCTGATTTCACATTCAATCGCCATTGACTACTGAACAAACCATAAATCAGTATTTTTAGAGACTGTATGTTATGCGTAAAGAACTGTCAACGAACGATATTTGTGTATTCATACCACTACCTATATACATCTTTTACCCAAGATATTAATAGATGTAAAACCAATGGCGAAAGTCCACAAACTCATCATTAAAGACATTTATAATGTATTATACAACTCAGTTTATTCTCGTGTAGTAGAAATTGAGCTATACTTCTTGTATCTGAGATCTACTTGGCTACCCGGATTCATGTTGATAGGATGAGTTTTAACATATAGATCTTGATAAAACTAAGTCTAACAGGTTGGCACATTTAACATACACAGTTTCAAAAGAAGTCGGTAGGGAAACATAACAAGGAATTGGATTTAGTGCTAATTGTTATAGTATTGGAAAATAAAGAAAAGAAACTCAGCAGCAGATACCATCGAAATCAAGTAATGAACAATTGAATAATCCATTGCTCAATACTACGAAGAAACAGATGCTTCATCACTACCCCAATAGATTTTAAGCTATATTACTTAAAATATGTAAGTAATTATTAAACATGGTTCTCAGACTCGAACCAAAGACACTTGGTATTTCTGATCACTGTGGGTATCATTATCAAGATTTGATTTGATAATTTCGAACGAATTGAGCAATGGGTAGATTTTTTAAATAATATTTTTGTAATATCCCAATGAGTAGAAAAGTTAGATTTTCTGACCTCATGTGATATCATATGACATATTGTTCTTATTGTTCCGTTGTACTATTTAAACTTGGATTAATTTTAATTTGGTTATTTATTCTCTGAAGAAGTGACTTACACTAAGTCACGAAACGTCATACAATCTAATTTTTCTACTCATTGGGATATTACAAATATATTACTTATTAGATGGTGATTGGAGGTAGTCGACAGGAAACCCTGGACCCGGGTTTCGTGCTACTTGGCACTCGTCAGCAAGGTGTACCTGTAATCTTCGAGGGAACTGATGCTCCCTGGCGGATTCGATCCCGTGTCACCCAGCTTCACAGTCACAGACGTTACCACTGAGCTATCCGGGCCGCGACCGACCTCCTGTAGGACTGAGATGTAATCACAATTGATTGATCACCGGGTGACCAATGTCATGCGTGTCTAGTCCTTATTATTAGTGCAGATCGAATGCTATCGACCATGTTGCAATGTGGCCACCAGTCTAGGTGACCCGACACTGCGGGCACTATTGTGAGATTAGATGGTGATTGGAGGTAGTCGACAGGAAACCCTGGACCCGGATCTCACAATAGTGCCCGCAGTGTCGAGTCACTTAGACTGGTGGCCACATTGCAACATGATCGATAGCATTCGATCTGCACTAATAATAAGGACTAGACACGCATGACATTGGTCACCCGGTGATCAATCAATTGTGATATTACTTATTTCTGATCACTGTTTAGATTACCTTTTGAAAACTTCCTAGGACAGACATAATTTTAAGCTATTTAAAATACAACTGAAGTTTTAACTTAAACAAATACTACAGATAATTAGCTGTGACGTTAAAAGAAATGCTTCATGTATGGAGCGTTTTAACGAGTAAACTATCATTTTATAGAGCTCACTCATTCCCGGTTTTCTCTCGTATCTTTATAACATGGTAAATAATTTTCATTTCTCTTATATTTTGTTGGTAAATAGATCCTAAACCTTTTGAATGCACATTGTGCGGGAAATCATTTAACCGACAGGATAAGTTAAGACGACATTATCAGGAAGCTCATGATGGTATGCCTTTATTTTTTTTATCCAACTAATAATTTTCTGATATTAATTTTTTTGTCGAAATTACTAGTCGCGTTAAGTGTTTGAATATTGTCTAACTGTAGTTGTTTTAAAAAGAATTTAGTTATCCCTTCATAGTGTCCAACAGAATTAAGACCTATACATACATAAGTGTTATAAAATACTTATTTATTAAAAATTGACCACTTCCAATTAAAAATAAAAACGTTTCAAATCGTTACTTTAAAGTTTTTAAATATATGTTGAAACTTAAATTTAAACTTAAGATTTCATTTTTAGTGGCTAATTCTCAAGGACTTATAAAATTACTTTACAACTACTTATCATACTTCTCATCGTTTTATTATCGGTAATAGCAGCAAATAAGCTTCACACAGTTTAATGATTTTATTAAATGTTAGTTGCTATGATTTGAAATATTTAGGATGCTGGGTATCTAGATCCTGGATCTTTGTATCAGTTTATTCTCAGTATATGATATTTAGATAAACGATATTACGTCAGAAAGACATGAATGCACTGAGTACTCTTGTTTGTTAATGAATTTAAACATTTAATTTCTCTAATTCAACTCATTTTTTCATCTGTCCATTTTTTTCATGTTATTTTCTCTCATAAAATGTAAAAGATTTTGATAATCAGTCTCACCGTTTGCGTAATCAGAAATGAATTAAATTCTACGTTCAGTCTACTTATTAATTTCTTTAACGATGGTAATTAGAGAATTACTGTCATGTTAAATGTTTTGTTATTTTCCGATAAAATTTTCGTATAAGTCAAAACTCAAAAAGTACTAACGTTTTATTGTGAAACTATGTAAATAAATTAGATCCTAGGTTTATGTGAAGAACATAAAGTAATTGGAAGTAGATCTATTCTTATTCAACGTAAATTAGTTTTAAGATTTCCACTGGAACCTCGATATTCAGCGGATTCAATTTTTAACAATTCTGTGTCTACTAAGGTGGTTGGAACATGTATTGTATTTGCCAAACCACAATACGCCAACATCTAATTTTGGCTCGAATAAGAAAAGGTTACCTGGAAACTAGGCGTGATCTAATCATCACAGGAAATCAGGTCAAATAATAATTGACTATTTGACTGAGTTGTGTTAGCGTGTCTAAACTGACTTGTTGGGGTCAGTGCAATAATCATGGCCAGTAGTTCGAGGTGTTGGTTGACATAAATTAAAATCTATCACAGTGATGGAGATGCATTCACTATGTATCTTCTCTTAAGTCTTGAGCTTCAATATTATTACATAGTTTTTACCCCTCACATGCATTCCTTCTGTTATCGGCCCTATTATTACTGTGACCCTTTGCTATTCCTCTTGTTAATTTCAACTCGACTTGCTGACGTTATAGAACCAGTAAAACTACGGCCAGTATTCTTGATAGACAACTTTGAAACCACTTTTAACTAACAGGTAATTCCATGTTAAATATAGTATTTGGGATAGGAGAGAAATTTAACTAGAAATCTATGTTTCAGGTTGTTGATTGCTGAATTAAAATTTACTTTGATGTAATGTATGATTCATGCAATTTTCTAGATTTTTATCCTTTCTGAAGATGGTTAATCCCCTTGCTAAAAAAATCTAAGTATTTTCACATCAGATTTTATACACAGTAGGACTGTATATATGAGATTGTATTTCATCCTAGTATGAATATTCTTTGTAGTATCAGGTAATTTCATTTTATATGTACTTTTGTAAATAAACATAGTGTGACCAAAAATAATCTCTTTATTTATTTATTAACATACTAGTCTACTTTCTCACTTAATCTGTACGCTAGTTTTCCTTTGTTAATATCGCTTTTTCACTTATTAGGTGTTAGAGAAGAGCATCAATGTCCCTCATGTGAAAAAAGATTTCATCGCAAATATCATTTAAATCGCCATATTGCTGAGGTTCATCGAGGTAAGTAGTTTTATTTGTTTTGTGGTACAATATTAGTAGATAGTTTAATAATTTAAAAACCCATGTGGGATATTAAAAAAACAAAGAACGTCAGAGCGAATTTAAACATAATCATTCGTAAATTTCCTATCTTACGTAAAATTATGGCAAACTTAGCATAGTAAACTTTCTTGCTTATGTTATAAGATTTCTATAGATTAAAGAAGTCATCAGGGATACAAGGTGTAAATCGTTAGGAAAATGGTTAAAGTTTACTCTTTAATCAAATATTCTGTAGTAAGTTTTCATCGGTTTAAATTACTCCTCAGAATCTTTTATTAAGAAGAAATAAAACATCTTTTTTACTCAGAGTTAGGTGGTGGTTAGAAGTGGAAGTCAGGACGCGCGTCTTTCTGTTGGTAACTCGTCAGCTCCACTTAAGAAATGCTTTTGACTTTATGGCAGAATCTAGGGAGTCCGCACATATGCTAAAAAAACATTGATCAATTACAGTCTTAAACATTAATGGAAAGATTTAAACAACCAGTAAAAATGAATTAAATACAAAGTCCGTTTTTATTACGGGACATTGAATTAAGTTAATACACAACCTCTAATGAACGTCTTAGTTTATTTTATTATGTCAGTCGGTAGAAGTATTCAAATTATAAGTTTATGCGATAAACAGGCAAAGATTCTTCATGTAGAGTAATAGTATATTTGTTTACAACATTGTTTTGTCCGGTATATTGAAAGATCCTGTTGGATTCTTACGTTATTTATCTTCTGTTATTGAGTGATATCACTGATAAGTCTCAGTCTCTGTGTATCTTAAAATTAGATTTCTCGGTCATTTCCAAAATGCAACAAACTCATCCGATTTCTAATGAATACTTTCACAGTAGTTGGTAGGTAAGTGCGTAAAAGTTATTAAGAGTAAAATCATATTTTGCAAAGGTCTCAGAGACCAATATCAAATGACTTAAACGTTCGGCTCGGATTTCTGGTTTAGGCTTCAGAATTATAATCGAAATTTCAAATTATCGAACATAAGTGCGGCACCAAAAATGTCAGCTCTTTTTTATAAAGTCCAAAACTGTATAGAAGGACTTCGATTTGATAGAGCTGAATTTTGTGTCCTTTTTCTGTCCAATTCAACCTTATCTCCGATCTCTTTTCAAGTTTCTTGAGAACGTATGTAACGTGTAAGTTGAATTACTTCGACTATTCCTACAAGACTATGATGTTGCCTCACTCATGGTTTATCTACTGCAGGTAGCTTAATCTAGAGTACCCGCTAAACTTGTGCAGTTCTTACCAACTTTAGTGTCGGGATTTTCCATGGTCTCAATTTTGTCTTTTATTTAGGTGTTAATGTTCTTTAGAAAATAAAAGTATATGATTTAGCACAGTAGATATTTTAAATCCAATAACGATGCACCTTTTGTGATATAGGGTTTATAAAGTAGTGTTTGGGTCATTTGTTTTAGCTGGGAAGCCATTTTTATGTCCATACTGTCGTCGTGAATTCGCAAGGGAATGGTCTTATCACCAACATCTACAAAAATATCATGATGGTAAGTACTGACTAATCTGCTTAGTAGTTTCTCTGTTTTATCTATTGCATATTGTTTGAATTCGTTTCACTGATTCTACCTTTTAGATTGTGTGAATTCTGCACCAGTAACGTATATAGAAAATCTCGAGGGATAATACTGAATTTATTCCTTCCATTCAGTATTCAGTGTACATATTTCTGTTTTAATCTTATATATGTGTTTTTAACGGTCTAAAGACTCCTGTAAAGTAAAATCTTAATTATCATTCTGTCATTTTAAACAAGTTTTTCGACTTCTATTATTCTCGGTGTGCTGAGTAACTGACTTAATTTCTTATCCTTATTAGCCGAGCTACGTGTTGCATAAGATCATATCACTTTACTGAATGGAATTCGCGGGTAATATACTTACCCTTAAAACAAATGTTTACAGCTACTTCACGGGAACTTTTCTTCTCAGGAAACTGAAACAGCTCCAACTTCGACATTTTTCCTGTCAAAATATCTTTCCAATAACTTAATATAAATTGATCGGACTTTATGTACCAGTTTGGAATTAATTTTGATTTTAACGTCAAGCGACACACCTCAGCTATGATGTTGTGATGATTTTCTGGGAAGTATCAAGACATTTGACCTTAAAAATAATAAAGTATGTATATGAAAGACAATAGTAAACTCCGGAAAACGAGCGCAACATACCAGTTGACCAGGGTGTTAATAGTTTCTTTTAAACAATTTATTCCGGCATATCACGTTCTGTGATTCTATGTATTACGAAAATTCAGCAAATAAATGTCGTAGTAGAGGAATCGACAAATGACCTTTATTTTGAGATATCTAACCCTGACCGTTGTTGCTACCTTGACGTGGTGGTCTGGCTTGCCTATCGTGATGAAGCAACTGAGCTATACTGGCTGGAACAACAGTTTCTCAAGGTCTTACCATGCTAGACAGGTCGGTTGAAGGGCAGTAAGACTAAAAGCAACAAAACCAAGGTCCGAAGGCGAAGTCGTACTGCTGACTGTACAGAGGTGTGACAGCAGTAAGGTGTTTCCTTCAGACAACCAGCATAACAGCGATGCTGCCTTCCCACAAGGAGGGGTGGGGTTAGAAAAGGTCGACCCTAAAAATGCACACCTCACCTTATCCCACGGATATCCGTGTCCGGCGGTAAGGTCTCAACAAGTACGGAGCTAACACAAAAACTACTCATAGAAAGGTCGTGTGTGACCGACCTCAAGCAGCTGTCCCTTGGGCACTGCGGTCACGCTCTCAGGTCACTATGACCAACTCTAATCCAATTTCCTTTTCAGGTACCTCCAGCAGAACCCTTCCACGGTGTGGGCAACCGGGAAGTGATAACCGCCCTCATACCTCTAACAGCCCTCAAGACCACTGTATTCATAATCAACCTCCCTCTTCAATTCCTATTATTCCTCCTACATCGACTTTATACACTAAACTTCCTCTATTAGCTTCCTCCTCAAGTGTCACCACAGCCAACGATTCTAATGCTCAAAACACTGTCCCAGGTCTACTGAAACCTCGCTCCAAACTATACATTGGAGCCTTCAACGTACGCACACTATGCCAAATCGGTCAGCAGGCTTCCTTGGCTAAAACCTTAGAATCTCGTACCATTGATGTATGCTGTGTCTCCGAAACACGCATACAGGATCCTAGTGTGGTCATTCACTTGACCTCACCTCGGCAAAACGGAGAGCCAACGAGATACACCCTCCGTGTATATGGCGATCCGATGGCTAGTTCTCGTGGACTGGCAGGTGTAGGCATAGCACTAAGCATAAGGGTAGGACAAGCGCTATTAGAGTGGATCCCCGTTAATAGTCGTCTATGCGCTGTTCGGCTAAATGGCTCCGTAAGAACTCGAAAGGATAGGGACACACGTCGTTTCTGCCTACGCTCCTACTGACTGCGGTTCGGATGAAGTGAAATATGAATTTTACAGAAAACTCTCTGAACTTCTTCAGAAAGCTAAACGTTCAGACATAGTACTCGTAGCAGGCGACTTTAATGCCCAGGTAGGTAGCTTAAACGAAACAGAAAGACATCTAGGTGGGTATTTTAGTATTCCGGCACAGAGAACAGATAGTGGTGATCGTCTGCTGCAACTTTGCTCAGACAATCGTTTATTTTTAGCAAACACAAATTTTAAGCATAAGGAGAGACATCGTCTAACATGGCGACCCCTGCAGCAAGTCAACGATGGACTCAAATAGACCATATTGCCATCAGTCATCGTTGGAGAGGTTCGATAGAAGATTGTCGCTCATTCTGGAGTACCTGCTTGGACTCTGATCATGCCCTAGTACGAGCACGCATCTGCTTGCGCCTCACTGGACGCAAAAGAGCCACACAAAAAAGACTCATTAGAACCGAATTGAGTAATGAGAAAGCCAAAAGTAGGTTCCAAGAACAACTGAGGTCACACTTAGGTAGTTCTGAAAACGAGGCTGACCCCGATGTTGATTGGAAAGACAAACAAGCAGCTGTGAAAACAGCAGTGACATCTACCAGTGATTTAAACCAAATGGTTACAAAAAACCAATGGATTTCTTCAAGGTCTATTGCACTGATAGATTCTCGCAAACTCATCCCATCAGGTTCTGAATGCGATGAAGAGCGTAAAGAAATCAGATCTAGATTAAGCAAAAGTCTAAAGAATGATCGTGAGCAGTGGTGGGCAACGAAAGCAAAAGAGATGGAAAAGGCAGCGGCTATAGGGAACACAAGACAACTCTACAGACTAATAAAAGAAACTGGAATTAATAAATCAAGTGTAAGTCAGACCATTTCGGAAAAAGACGACACTCTCATCTGCTCCCAGTCCAGACGTTTAGAACGATGTGCCGAACATTTTAAGGAGCAGTTCAGTTGGCCTTCAGCTACTCTACAACTACCCTCTATTCCCAGACAGTATGAATGGAACATTGAAGTAAGTCCTCCAACTCTAGCTGAAGTTCAAAAGGCTATAGCTAATCTGAAACGAGGAAGGGCAGCTGGTCCAGACGGATTGGCCCCAGAGGTCTTTAAGGATGGTGGTCTAGTCTTAGCGATTAGGTTGACTAATATTTTAGCTAAAATCTGGGAGTTAGACGTTATCCCCTCTGACTGGTCACAATCACTTATCGTCCCAATATTTAAGAAAGGGTCAAAATCATCCTGTGACAACCACAGAGGGATTAGTTTGACTAATATAGTATCTAAAATACTAGCCTCGATAATTTTCGGACGCCTAACTAAAACTCGTGAACTGCAAACACGTGAAACTCAGGCTGGCTTCAGACCTGGTCGTGGCTGCATCGACCACATATTCACCATTCGTCAGGTTCTAGAACACAGGCATACTTATCGGCGTCCGACAATGGTGGTCTTCCTTGACTTAAAAGCAGCGTTTGACTCTGTTGACCGAGAGGTTCTGTGGCAGTGTCTGTCATTGAAAGGCATACCTCAGAAGTACATAAACATTGTGAAAGCTCTTTACTCGAACACTACTAGTTGGGTCAGAGTTTATGGCGAACTGTCATCTGCTTTCGCAACCCCAAGTGGCGTCCGCCAAGGCTGTCCACTTTCTCCATTTTTGTTCAACTTCATCATAGATCTACTGATGGAAATAACGCTCTCATCGACTGACTTCTCGGGTATTGATCTCCTACCAGGAGGTCCACTTATTGACTTAGAATACGCAGATGACATAGTCCTGTTTGGTGAAGACGCTGATGAAATGCAGAGTATTATGGTAGCACTGAGCAACAATGCCAGAATGTTTGGGATGCGCTACTCTCCCTCCAAATGCAAGTTGTTGCTTCAGGACTGGTCTGCGTCAACACCTGAACTAAGGATAGGGAGTGAAGTAGTCTGCGTATGCCTGAACACCGATTACCACGACGCGCAATGCTCACTGGTGTTAGGGATAATTGGAAGAAAGTTAGGGGCGACCAAACCAAAACGTGGCATCAGTGTTTGAAGTCACTAACTTCTGGTCTGAGCCATGTTGGTAGATGCAGACTACTTGGTTGGGGTCCGCGTGACTATCGTAACCAATGGTTGGAGACTCTTGGTGACATGGCTCAGAATCGATCACAATGGCGTCGGTGTATACACTCTCTGTCTTCCTTTAAACTAAGAGATTAAAATCACTTCAAATCTTTCTTTCTATGAACTAATTCTATCTTCCTGTACTATCTCCTTATACACACTCTTTCTTCTATATATTACCACCACTGAATTAACTACTCCTATGAATCCGGTGTTCATCTTGTTGTGCTAATGCGGTATGGCAACTTGGATCGATGCATATACGTGCCTGGTCCTACGTTGCAGCTGACTGACTGACTGAATCACTCAATAGCTAGATATCTCTATCTCTGTAATATGTGTACATATATCTTTGTAAATTTCCAAGCATAGGCTTCTGTTAAATTCATCGTTTTTCCTCGACAACACGTAAGGTCCTCAGCTAGTTTTTCCCTTCAGTCATTCTTTTCGGAATTCATATGTTTAACAGTATTGTATTTAGTTCAAAGTACACCATTGACTTCACTGAAATTTAGACTACTTGGGTGCTAGAATAATGTTCTTTTTCTGAAGTCTGAATAAAAATAAGGTAATCCAAGTGTCATAAGATTTTTTAAATAATTCAGATCCATTGGTATTACACAAATAGTGTAACAAAGGTACATAATGACAAGAAGAATTGCAATATTTAGTCACTTGTAAGCCTATTCTAAATATGTGGGCAGGCTACATTTCATATTATCGAGGATTTACGTTACGAAAGCTTATTACTTTCACTTGACTTTAAAACTGACCACGCAAGTGTTAGTAGCCAGCCTTTCCCCGCGAAAAACTTAATAGCTATTCAGTGTTAATCGTGTTAACAGACTCTTTTTGTATAACCTATCCAAAAATGATGTATTTGGACATTTCTCCAATCCTCTATTTCTCCCCTCAGCGTTTGCAATAAATTTGCCTTAGCCTTTGACCAAACATATTGTCCGTTTATCCTATTATCATCTCGGTGTTCGGCGAATAGTAAGTCCAAACATACATGTCATGTTAGTTGATGCTGTTACGGTTGGATAGTATGGACTAAGCTGGGTGAAGGTATATTTTTAGACATTTGCACCAA